TGATGACGAATGATTTTGTACTTGTCTTTGGGTGTTTGAAATAAACGTGTTTATTGACGCTATGACCTGTCTGGTGTATTAATTCAGCTGATGTCAGTGCATCATTTCACGTGGGTCACGCTCTGTGGTACTTTGTTAATGCTGAAATCTTCATCTTGGAATAAGGACTAAAGTTAAATTGACTCCGGATTGCTACTAAACTGTGTGGCCCACTTGAAAGGCTCTTGCAGGGATGCAAAGAAACTCTTCTCAAATCTAAAGTTGGAAATCCAAATGCATTAGATGGCGTGTTGGACAAGGTCAGAGCAGTATTAGCATTTGGAAAACGGAAGTTCAGTAACTTGAACTGAACTAAGGCTGCTATTAAATTAGTCCAGCAGAACTGTTAGACGTGGCTGTGAGCCAGCAGACTGAAGATGTCTGACATGTTTAACCAGAAATGGAATTTAAACTTGTAAGCCCGTTTGCCTGGTTGAATCGCGGGGGGGGGGGCAAATACGTAACACCCTTTTTGCAGTCTCTTGATCCTTTCTCTTTCCCCTCACCTCCAATCGTGCTGGCTGAAAGAGGATCCTCCTCTGCTCTGTTACTGTAGCCCAAGGGTGGACCTGCAGGTTTTGGATGTGTCCTTGATCCAACACAGCTGACTTAAATGACCTCAACGTGACGCCTGCTAATGAACTAAACATTTGATTCAGGTGTGTTGATGACCCAGGGTGAGATCTGAAACCTGCAGGACACCTGCCCTGGAGGTCTAGAGCTCCTCTGTAGGTGCTTGCAATAAAGAGCATTATTGTTGTGAGGTAGTGTTACATACATACGTTTAATCTGTAATAAAGTTGTATTTCTTAGTTTGGGGTTTGTCGTGTTTTTAATAAAACATCAGTACTCCTATCAGCACAGGGTTGTTATAAAATGTATTTATTTTGAGTTTCGCGGAACGATCTATGAAGGCGGAACAAATATTCGACACTTGGGTTTCTCGCGGGAACAATATCGTCGCTGCACACAGGAACTATTGCGTTGTTTCTATTTTCTGGGCAAGTTTGGCTGTAGTGGTGTTTCTGATCCCGTCCTGGTAGTAAAATACACCCACGCGTGTGAACATGCCGAAGGTGGTTTCCAGGAGCGTCGTGTGCTCGGACACCAGAGACCGGGAGGAGTACGACGACGGAGAGAAGCCCCTCCACGTCTACTACTGCCTGTGCGGCCAGATGGTTCTGGTCCTGGACTGCCAGCTGGAGAAGCTGCCCATGAGACCCCGGGACAAAGCCCGGGTGATCGACGCCGCCAAACACGCTCACAAGTTCTGCAACGTGGAGGAGGACGAAAACACGTACATCAAGAGAGCCGAGGGTATCGAGAGGCAGTACCGCAAGAAGTGCGGCAAATGCGGCCTGCTGCTCTTCTACCAGCACCAGGAGAAGAACAACCCGGCCACCTTCATCGTGGACGGGGCCGTGGTCAAGTTCGGGCAGGGCTTCGGCAACACCAGCGTCTACAGCCAGAAGCAGCCCGAGGCTCCCAAGAAAGTCCGAGTGATGATGACCAAGCGGACCAAAGACATGGGCAAGTTCAGCTCCGTCACCGTCTCCACTATCGACGAGGAGGAGGAGGAGATCGAGGCCAGGGAGGTGGCGGACTCCTATGCCCAGAATGCCAAAGTGATCGAGAAGCAGCTGGAGAGGAAGGGCATGAGCAAGAGGAGGCTGCAGGAGCTGGCTGAGCTGGAGGCCAAGAAGGCCAAGATGAAGGGCACTCTCATTGATAACCAGTTCAAATAGAGTCTGAGGAGACTCCTGCTCTGCTGGGACTCGTTGTACATACAGGACTGATGAGTGTAGCGGTCGTATCATAAGAATGTGATCTGGCCTTTAAATTAGTTTGTTATAATGTTTTGTACATACAGGAAAAGACAAAATAAACATTTTTCTTGTTGTTGGTATTTTTAAAAAGTGTTTCATGTTGTTGT